TAATTTTATTTTGAGAAGAAGAAGGCTTATCAAACACCAGAATTATTATTTTATTCGTCAGAGCGTCAGATACTGAAACTAAAAGACCTTCTGCCACGGCAAGACACGTATGGAGCTCATCATGTGAAACACTTGTCTTCCAAAGCGTAGCCAATCAAACTGTGTCAGTTCATGGATTAGCCTCAGGTGACCGAGGACCCACGCCCCAGGGGAGCAAGACTCAACGGCGGATTCAGACAGAGACACACACGTGCACTGATGGCTCGTTAACTGAGCGGAAGTTGGTCAATCGACACATATTTTGGGCGGTCAGCTTTGCAGTATACTGAGCGTGTAAATCGACCCAAGCGTGATTGAATTCACGACTGCTGGTTGACTGTACTAAAGCCTTCCCCTTGCTTGCATGCGTCAGAATCCCACCGAGGACGCCGACTTTTTTTACAGGAGGGTCAAATGCCTTAGTTGAATCTGCCAAATACCCCCTACTAATTACTTTTCATTTTTTTGAAACAGTTTTCTGAGGAGTTCTCATGTGTATATAGAGCTCTTTACCAGCCGGACATTCCAAGTCATCAGATAAAGATAACTTGAGTTAAATTGCGGACAAATGTGCCTTGAGAGTTTACTAGGCCCCCTGTGGCCCTCTGACTGGCCGTCTACCTTCGGGAGTGAAACACGTGCGAACTATTCGCACGTAGTTGAACTCACATACTGATTGATCTCACCAGATGATGTAATATGCATATGTTTTAAATTACCAGGGGTCATCAAATCTACCATAATTATGATGAAAATGAAGATTTCGGGGCTCCTAGCCACCACATAAGGTTTGCTTACATCAGGAAGCCAGTTGCATCGGTAATCGCACATTCCTGAGGGAATATATACCCGGTGTGCAGTGACAGTGAATTCCAAGTGACGGGGCGCTGATGAACTGAGGTTCAATGAAGTGCTTATAACCCCTCTGGTGGACCCCAGTTGTGGACCGCCTGCGCCATCTGTGAGTGGGCATGTTTGTTTTGTCCGGCCCAGCTGATGGTCAGGATTATGCTTTACTGAATGAAGGTAAATAAGCTCGAAACAGTTCTGTACGAAGGTACCCCCAAACGTTCTCATCCCTCTCTCAGCTATTATGGCTTGGCCGGCATCGGCCTAGCAGATGGTCACCCGTTTCGGGACCCCTAGCTACCACACGAAGTTTGTTTACTTCGAGAAGCCAACTGGATCGGTGATCACTCATTCCTGAAGGAATATATACCCAGCTAGCGCCAATTGAGCATCTGCGTCGGATCGAATATAGTGGTCAGGAGGTAGAGTTGACACCGTTATAAGCCGATTTTTGTAAATATGCAAGTCGTCAGTTCAATTGCACTAAATTCACGTGCCCGGCTCGCACAGTGATTTAAATCTATGACGCATGGTTAAGTCTTTGTGAAATATAAACTGTCAACACGCTGCGCGGACGCTTTGCAATGACGAACACGAAAAATAAAGGAGGAGGAGGAGGAGGGTATTTGTCATTGGATTAGTCTACCTCCTAGAAACCTCTAGCAGACCTCTAAAGATCACATTTGTGTGTCACTAATCGAGACGTATAAGACAAACTCATCACATTGAGCCTTAGGGTTCAAACTAGAGCCCTTTCAGGCAGTCTCAATCGCAGAGAACGACTACCGACAAAGATGAGAGTGGGTGGAATGACCGTTTCCGGTTTATTAGCCATCATCAGCTAGCTATACCCAGCACTAGGTCTGAAGGACTGTTTTTTGGTAATTGAACAGTAAGTAATCCACGACTCCACCACTGAGCCCTGGGGCCCGTAGAAGAAAGCTTTTATCCTGCTGCACACTTCACGAGCAGAAACTGCTGATGACGCTGAAAAGAATTAAGAGAGGGGGAACGTGGTCATGTCACCAAGTGACCGCTACGTCAGAGCAAAAGCACTTTTAAAAATATCAATCAAAGCAGCGCCGCTTACCTGGTCGTAATTTCACCGGTGTGTTTATCGATCCGAAAGAAGATTGCATCCTTTTCATTGCCCAGAGAATACAGCAGCTTCGAGGGGCTCTTCTCAGCCCCCACCGCACCCAGTCTTGGCGGTGCCTTCATCTCCTCGGCGTCTCTGGGAAATACCAGTGCCGACTGCATTTCACCCGGGTTTGGCATATCGTCTATATCCACCGCCGTGACGATGCCCACAAACTTGCCCGGCGGCTCGTTCTCCTGAATGCTGAAGGCGTAACCCGAGTCGGTGGTGGTCTGCAGAATGAACTGCGGCGGATTATCATTGACATCCTCCACGTGTACCAGAAC